ACATCCTTGATAAACTAAATGATAAAACCTCTGCTTGGAAGATACAGAGAAGAATTGAATGGCAGGGGCTGTAACTCACCTCTCCCCCCTTTCCTGATTGACAAATCAAAAGTTTGACGAACTTTTGAGGAGTTATCCTCCTTTACTGCTAACATGACTTACTAATAGCCACTTCAGCATTTGTCTAATTAGCAGCTCTGTCTTCAGGTCTGTTCCTCAGTCAGATAAAAGCAGTAGCCAATACAAAACCCAAAAGAAAAATCTTACTGTGGAATAAATGTAACCTAACACAACTACACCAAGCTGCATTAAACTTTCAACAAACATTCTTATTAGAAAAAGACATTAACCAACCAGTCGATGACCTCTGGAATTTTATTAAAAACCATCTTAAAAGCATTATAGAAAATCATATACCAACTAAATACACATTAAACAAAATAAATAAATGCTGGTTTAATAATAGACTAAAGAAGCTTTGTAAACAGAAGGAAAACCTATATAGAAAATTTAAAGAAACTAAGGCAGAAAGAGTTTACAAAAAGTATATAAAAATTAAACACTTAACCCAAAAAGTAAGCAGACAGCTGCAGAGTGAATACATAAACAATGTAATATCTAAAGATAACAACAAAAACCTATGGTCATACATTAAGTCTAAGAAAATGGAAACAACAGGCATAGCGCCATTAAAAGATGAACATAACATAATACATAATGATAATGAAACTAAAGCAAACATCCTAAACAAATACTTTGAATCAGCATTCTCAACCCCAGGAGACAAAGACATATTTCTTAATTTGAACCAAGTAGACAACATAGAAGATTTAGTAGTACAAGAAAATGGAATTCAAAAACTATTAGCCAACACCAAACCAAATAAAGCGTCTGGACCTGATGGTATTCCAGCTAGATTACTCAAAGAACCAAGCAATGAGCTAGCCCCAGTGTTCAAAATACTCTTTCAAGCATCGCTTAACCAGGGCAGAGTACCAAAGGACTGGAAAGAAGCTAATGTCACCCCCCTATTTAAAAAAGGAAAAAAATCTGATCCAGGAAACTACAGACCAGTATCACTTACCAGCATCACATGTAAAATCCTAGAACACATAATATGTAGCAACATCATAAACCACTTAGACAAACATAATGTCCTCACCCCATACCAACATGGCTTTAGGAAATATAGATCATGTGAAACACAACTAATAGGACTAATTGATGATTTTTCAAAAGGTTTAGATAATAGTGAACAAATAGATGCTATCTTACTAGATTTTTCCAAGGCTTTTGACGAAGTTCACCACCATAGTTTGCTTAAAAAATTAAAATATTTCGGCATTAATGGTCCACTGCATCAGTGGATTAAAGATTTTCTGATTTTCATTCTGTAATAATAAATGGTTCTAAATCAACACCAATAACAGTAAACTCAGGTGTACCTCAATGAACAGTCTTGGGTCCACTACTATTTCTAATTTACATAAATGATTTACCAAATTGCATTACTTCAGGAACAAAAGTCAGATTATTTGCAGACGATTGCATAATATATAGAACAATAAAAACAACACAAGACACAGATATTTTACAAAGAGAATTAGATGAATTACAGAAATGGGAATCAAATTGGAGCATGTCTTTCCACCCAGAAAAATGTCAGTTGTTAAGAGTAACAAAAAAAACTAAAACAAATTAATTCCACTCATCTTATTCATGGCAAACCAGTAACACAGACTAAGAACGCAAAATACCTAGGTCTTGTAATAAATGAAAAACTGTCATGGAATCCACATATTGATGAAACTATAAAAAAATCCAACAAAGCATTAGGGTAACGTCTGTATTATATAAGAAGAAGAAGAAGTTCCATGTCTATGTAAACCTCAACTTAAAACTTAAACTAAACATTTTTACAAGTCCTCTTTTCAGCCTTTGAATTCTTCATTGAAAGAAACATGTACAAAAAAAAAAAGTTGTCGAAAACGGCTTAAACTTTTTTCCTAAAAATTTACAGCTTACATAAATCTTTATCTAAAGAATCATAAGCCACAACAGGAAAAGTCTGGTATTACCGTAAAATTGTTTAAATCTAATAATTACATTTGGTCTCGAGGTCCTGACACTCTATATCTGGTAGATACATACTGTAGATACAGCTTGTATTTCCACATGTCTTTATTAATGAGTGGAATAAATAAAAACGTTTCGAGCACGTTCTTCTAAGACTGGATATATTGGCCTATCATTAGAATTTTATAAACTATGAGTAGAGTTGCACATTCGCTTAACCAGGATTGTGTGTGTGCGTGTGCGTGTGTGTGTGCGTGTGTCTTGAGAGAATGGGGCGGAGTAAAACAAAATGGTCCATTTTGAAAAATTTATTTATTAGTTGTAAAGAGCAAAATTATCGCTCTTACAGTGGCTGGGCAGCTGTATAAAGCAGGAATCGTCTAGTTAAAAAGTATTTTTATTTATCTTATATCAGTCGGTCTGGTAAAAAGTATGACCACGTGATTTCTACCACATCTAATCTCGGATCAAGTTGAAATTTTGCACTATTAAGTCTTCTACCTGACCAAACAAGAATCAATTTTTAAAAAAGCAAAAAGTTTAATTAAAATATTGGTATTTAATTATTGTGTTTAATATCGAACAAGGGAAATAAATTGTACCTTACTGATGTGGTGGTATATGCTGAATTAGTCCTTTTAATAGCATTATACTTTGTGTAGATAAGCATGTCACTGGCAAAGTGATTAGTGTATTTGCCTAAGTTCAAGTCGTACAACTCTTTATATATATAAAGGAATGTGGGAGATATAGAAGGGGTAACATTAACAAGATGCCCCTTCAATATTTCCCACCTTCCTTTTTTTTCTAATTAGTGCAGATAAGTGATAGTATCATAGCGTATTGAGAGAGCTAAATGCACGAAATTGCTTAAAAAAAACAACAACTATTGGTGGAAAGTAAAAGATATTTCTAATCGCAGGGATTTATTATTGTTATTCTAAATTGATTGAAAATTTAATTACCTGACTGATCCAAACCAATTGATATAAATAAGTTTAATATAATCTTTACTTTGTTTTGTTTTTTAAGTATTTTAAAATATTTTATATTTATAGTTTACTTGATTTTCTATGTCCTCTGTATAAGTGCCTGTTATTACTTCTTTTGAACAGTACAATATAAGATTGTTAAACATCCTTTCTTTCATTCAGTTACTACTTCTGAGCAGGAAGATATTTTAATTTGGTGAATTTACTTCCTGGCTAGACCACAATGGTCTTTCCATTATCTGACAATCATTCAAAAGTTATCAGTAACTTTCAGCTCCAACCTAGACTGATTCATTTGATGATCGAATCTTGAAAATGTACGTCTAATAACTTCACAAAGTGGGTCTTTAAGAACTCACAGTACTTTAAATCCTCTTTATATAATCCCCTTAACATAATTCACATAGTATTTAATTCCAAGCAACAATTGCCAATTGCTCAAGACAACTAATCTATTCTAGATACGCAAAATACCACTGATCATTCATGAATGCATTAATAAAGCATGTCTTCGAGTCCGAAGATCAATGAGGAATGCAGTATTTCCCTTGGCTTCGAGGCCCAAGCTGTGACCTACATATTTTGCCACATCATTAGCAAGCATAACCTTTGTCTGCAGTTGGTCGATTAAGATTTACTTTTCGCCGTCTACGTCTGTCCTCGGCAGCGGTTTTCTTTAGGTCTCAAATGTGCATCCCGCGGCCTTTGTGAGTGACCTCCTGCTGTCTCGTTCTGAAGTCCCATGTAAGCATTGAGAGCTCTCTTTAGGTAACCAACTGGTTCACATGAAATCAAAATCTTCCTTATCTGTGCTCTTGGAATTTGTGGATTTGTTTTATAGTATTGGGGAATTTTACTTTAAAACCCCCTGGTAGAGGTTTTAAACTCAAAACCTCTTTGGCTGTGTTGGGGCAAGTGATCGTTTTGTATTAAAATCTCACCTAAAATAAACAAAATGAAAGCAAAAAATCAGTCTCTAAACTCCGATCCCATTCTGCTGGGGGGGGGGGGATTTCATTTCATTGAACCCCAACCCCCCTGGTTACGCCCATGCCACTTAGTAACTTTTGCGTTGACAGAGAGCGAGGCTAAGGAAAAAAAAGGGGGAGGGGGCGTATGCTGTCTAAATATTTGACCTACATTTATGTCTATATCTGTTTTCACACGTCAATGGTATCATTAAAATAGTTGCCTGCTTTTTTTTCTGTAGTTTTGTTTTGATTTTGCCTCTTCATATTGCCCTTCGTTTCCTAACCATGGCCTCCGCTTCACATCTATTTCGTGGAGTCAACTGGTCTTTCAATGAAGTCGAAATTCCTGCACAAGGTCACTGTTTATTTCTATCAGTCGCATATTTCTGGAAAAATGTCATCGACGAAACTGTTGGTCTCGAACTTTGCAAGATGGCTGTAAGCTTTGTTTGCGAACATTGGGATAAGTATGGCGACTCCCTGTTCGATGTTCTTACTAACTGGAAGCAGTCATACACTCTGCTCGACAATACGCTGCCTACATGAATACTTCCGGCAAATAGCGGCGTATGCTATGCCGCGTGTCGACTAGTTCTATATAAAGAAATAGCTCAAATATTGAATTCAGGCATTTGTAAAGCATGTGTAGGTCGCAGATGGGACTGAGTAGCCATGTGAAATACTGCATTCCTCCTCAATAATTTTAGGACTCTCTTTCCCTAATTCAACATATTTCATTAAAAGTAATTGTATTTTCACTTAAACCCCCCCCCCCCTTCTTTTTTTCAAGACATGGACGAAATTTAAAAAAAGCAAAATCATTTTTTTTATTAATAAACATTTAGTTGAATCTTAGAAGTTGCAATTATAAAATTGTTAATGTATACAACAGAAAACAATAAGGTAGCCTAAAAGTTTATATTATAATACTGTCAGATCCAGAAACATCTTCATAATCTATAGAGAAAGCGATGGGAAGACAACATAAACTAATGGACAGGCCTTCGATTGAATGAAATTCTATCCAATGCAAAAGACGGAGAGGATTGGAGAACGACTGTCAACAGATCTTGTATGGTGTCCCAAGTTCCCAACTGTTCAACACACTAAGAGCTAGGTGAATTTACAAACTTTTACTATTTTCATTACTCTAGTGACTATATTTTAACTAACAGACTTGTATTCACTACATTTCAAATACTACTCAACTAAGTAAGACGAGTGGCGTAGCAAGGTATTTAGGGCCTGGAAAGGAGGGCTTGGCTTCTTTAGGGACCCCTGCTTTTTGACATTCGAGATCCTTAGTTCAGATAATGTACTTAATACATATACAAGTCTAATGTGTAGAATACATGCAATATGGTCACTAATTTACACCAAAACATGAATAGCAAGATAAAACAACAACATGGCATTGGTTTTATAGTTAATGTAAATAAAATTTTGGACACTCATTTGTGGGACCCATCAAGTGGGGCCTTCGGGAATTTTTACATTTTGACGCTTTTTGCCCACCCTAGCTACACTGTTGAGTTACACTGCTTTTGATGACTCTTTATTTGTGTACTTTGCGTGGTTTCAGTTTCGTCTAATTGTTTATAAAATCTGTAAATTGGTGAAGAGTACATTTATTTTTGCACTTCACTACTATAAATTGGTTATAGTTTTTCATTATTGCAATTATTGCTAGGTTCAGATTGATGGTCGACGTGATTAGAATACGGGTTCGCGTGTTCGTTAAAGTAAATAGTTCCATCTGTAGTGTCTTGGTCAGCGTTTAAACCAATTACAGTATTACACGTAGAATCACATTTAAGTAAAGTCAAGATTTTGTCGTGAGGCGTTATAGTACTGTCAGATCCAGAAACATCTTCATAATAATTCCCAAGTTGTGCTCTGTTCTGGTTAGAATATACTGTGTCAGTATCAAGGCAAGTTTGATTTATTGTTATATCAGTGGGGTTCTTTGCTTCTTCGCTAGACTGTAAATATTTGTCCTTTGAATTGCAGTCAGGTAGTAGATCACCGTATACATTGGTCATTAATTTTATATTTTCATTCAGTTTAGAATACACGTCTTGTAAATGACGGTGTGGCGTGACTGTTTCTTCTGTTATTTCCCTATCTTCAGATTGTGTTTCTTGGAGAGAGACATTGGTTTGTCTGCAACACGTTGGCAGTGCTACCTCGGAATTTGGTGTGTCAATTGGTACATAATTATCTTGCAATAAGTTTTCATTTGCAGGAGAAGATTTAGAATGGCCTTCTGAGTGTGTGGAATAAAATGTGTACACATTCTCTACAACCCTATCATTTTGTTCTAAAGTATCTAGATAGTGAACTAAAGATTGACCCTGTTTTTCTTCACTAGACTCTGTTTCCAAAACATATACATGATTCGGTAAAGACTCGTCATTTCTCTCAGGAAGTAGGTCTCCGTAAACATTGGTCATTAATTTTATTTTTTCTTTCAGTTTAGAATACACGTTCTGCACATCATGTTGTGGGGTAATAGTTTCTTCTGTTTGCTTGTTCATTTCTGAGCGTGTTTGTACAAGAGTGGCATTGGTTTGTTGAGACGTCCTTGACAGCGCCACCTCGGAATTAGGCTCGTCAAGTGATAGATAGTCATCGTGCAAAAACTCTTCAACATTAGGAAAGGGTTTAGATTGGTCTTCTGGGCTAGCGGAACTAAATGAGAACACATTTACTACAGCCCTTCCATTGTGTTCTAAAGTATCTCGGTACTGATCTAAAGGTTGATCTTTAGACTCACGATTTGTATGTTTTCTTGTACGTAATCTGAGGAATAGAATAACCAGTAAAACTATCAGGCCAAGGCTGACAACAAGGCCGATAATGATGAGAGTTATGTTAGTAACATTGAACTGATCACTTGATGTCATAGAGGTGTCTTCATTGTTCAAGATAACGACGTTTGCATCATAAAAGGAATTTGTTGTAGCGGCTATGGATTCCGATAGCTCTTCTGATATTCTTAATGTTTTTGATAGTTCTCGTGGTTGAGAAGTGATAATTACTGACCTTTGGTCATTCGTTTTGGTTTTTAAGATAGAAACAGACGTTTGATAATTAGATGTGGTACCGTTATAATAAGTCAAATTCGTTAAATCGACATTAGACGGTGTCAATGTAAACATGACATCAGATCTTGTTGTTGCTGTTGGGGACTTCGTTGAATAGGCGAATAAATCCGACCCCAAAGAACAGTTGTGTAAAGACACGTCATCAAAATATTCATTTGTCTCCCACTTCATTATAAATAGAAACGGCAATTCACACTTGTCCTTTGGTATTGATATAGGCACAAACTTGCATTTTAATGTATGAATTTTTGATAAAATGTTAAACGAATTGTCCCATGTACATTCAAACGATCTATTTCTTAAAGTGACATTTCTATTCTGCGATATTGATGAAACATTGTATTGACCGCCTTGGTGAAGTGTTTTAATTTCACAGAATTCCGTTTCTTTACTTTTCATACATTGCAAAACGCTGAAATTATATTAAAAGACACATTTAACAAGTTTATATGTGATATATGTAATAATAGTGTATATTAAATGTATTATTTGTGTTTATTTAAATCTAATACTTTCTTGTTAGTATGTTCTAGTTAAAGAGCTTATTTGAATATCAGCTAATTGATATCTTTCTTATTCTACAAAATTTATATATTAAATATAACTATTAAAAGATAGCTTTCTAAATTCAAATTATGTAATATGTAAATACTTAAAGAGAGCGCCGTAAAAAGGGGAGATTAGAATACATTTGTGAGTGCAATTCCAGAGATACATATAACGGAACTATTTTTACTACATCTTTTCTTTAACTTATTGTTTGACTCTGTCAGATATCACAAAATTCTTACTTTGAACTATATGAAAACTGCAATGAGATTCAAGACTTTGAGCTTTGTCTACGAAACATATACTCATCATAATCATCGTGAAAACACTTATTTTTGAGTGAGGGCTTGAAAGGCTCCAATCCTCTCTTGAAAATAGAAATCCTGCTCTTGGGCGTGTATACGTAGGTCAGACCTTGTGACTACCCAGACCTTTCGAGATGGACATCTACTGGTCTAGGGCATTCGAAAAACGAACGAGACACGGCAAAGAAAGATTTCACTGGACAGTGGCCTGTCTTTCACTGTGCTATAGTTTGTTTTACGCCTACACATCCTCCACTTTGGTGACGTGCTGTCAGGGCAAAATCAAATGTTCTAAGCAATTCCGATTACAGCACAAAATAATTTAAACACTTTGTAACTTTCAGTTACCAAGATAAACTTGCCAACTAAAAGTAAAAAGTAATTTTCCTCTTTCAGACCTTGAAAGTAACAAAATCCCAGTCTTCACCAAAATTCAAACCCGGGACCCCGGTTCGAAAGCTAAATGCTTTAACACGCAGCCACCTCGCTTCTCAACTTATTAACTGTTAAAAATAGAGCTGAATTCCTTTTTGTTATTTACTTTGCAACCATGAAGCCATGTCACGTTCAATTTAGGGTTATTGTCATTGTTTAGTTAATCGTGATTTTCAATTCAATTCATGTTCTTACCATTTTCATTTTACCAATTTTGATATTTTGACATTTTGCTTATGTTTTAGGGACCCAATAGTATCGTTCCACATTCCGGACATAGTTAGGAATTACAGTTTGTTACAAGCCTAGTATTCGTCTCAAATATTCTGGTATAATATTTGTTTATGGCTTCTTATGGAAGATTGGGGCTTCATTTAACTTGTGTGTTCTTTGTATAATTTATTTACTTATATTAGTGTGAATTTGCCCCATATGTTTGGTTGTTTGTCAAATGTTTTACACGTTTCGGATGTTCTTTCAGAGTTGAAGATAGTTTGCTTCCTAGTCCAAACATCCCGCAGAACGACGGTGGATGGGAGCGGGCAGGGTTTGGACTCGGGACCATCGATAAATCCAAAGGACAGTCCAGCGCGCAAACCGCACGACCAGGCAGCCATATTCACCCTCTACGTCACGTTTTCGGAGTCTCGACCTAGATCAAGCTAGAATAAACTTTATTATGGCAATGAAATCTTAACTAAAACTGCGATTTGGCTTGTGGGCAGACCAGAGGCGTAGTGAGCAAAATGTGCACCCGGGGAAAGAGACTTCATTGGCTACCCCCCCCCCCCCCCCCCCCCCCAGCATTTGCCATAAATAATGGACAGCATATAAAAAATAGGCAAAAGAAAATAACAAAAATAAAAAAATTAGAATGTATTTCCAAACTAAAATATCGACAATCATTTTTGGGCGCCTCTCTACGTGTGGCACTCCCCCCTTAAGGGTAGCGCCCTGGCATCATGCCTCTTGCCCCCCCCCCCCGCCCTTTCTACGCCTCTGAGCTCTATAGCCTTGGTCGGCAGCCAATCTAGGAGACGGCAACTCCAATATAAAACCTACAACTATCTGTTGTTCTAACACCTCTGTGCCACTGTGGACTGCATTTAGTGTAAAGAGTGGTATCGGCCGCACAAACTAATTATCACTTTAAAATACTTTGCGCAGGCTGGAGGCAATACACTAACTTGCCCACAAATTACTATCCGCAACAGAGTCGATAAAAGGATATCTTTAAAATTCGCCTTCTGGAATGTCCGCACAATACAAAGGCAGCGGGATAAAATCCGCTGCGGACAGACGTAGACGTCGAGAAATAAATCTACCACCGCGGACAGGGGTTATGCCTGCGTTAGAAGTGGCAAATTATGTAGGACACAACTGGGGCTGTTTAGCACAGGGAAATACTGCATTCCTCATTAATATTCGGACTTGAAGACAAGCATTAGTATTTTCAATATGGTAAATTCTATTAGGATTCACTGACTTAAGTCACATGTGGACCCTACAACTGATAGTCCAAGGGCAAAGCATTTTGGTTGGAACAACGACAAAGCTCAAATGCAAGACATACAATGGATGAGCTAAGTCATGCTATGGGCTGTTGTAAACGTTTACCTTTGGAACATTGACCTGTTAAAATAGACGTCGTAAGAGAAAAACCTCCAATTAACTCTCATCACTGCAAACATGTCGACATTAGAAATCATAATGACAAAAGTGAGACACAGCTGCCAGCTCATCATGTTACTTGCTTGATAAATAGTTCCAGTGAAGAGCTAAAGAAGTCATGCAAAATTTAATATAGTAAAAAGAAAAAAACATATATTTTTAAATTCTTTAAACAAAGCTTATAAAAGGGGAATACATCCGCATTTACAACTATATCTCTCAATAATGTATAACGTATTTCCCTTTTTCGATGTGAAATAAAATAATTAATTACCAATAATTTTTTGACTTATTGGTTAGTGTTTTTTTTTTTTTAGATCCAATAGATAATTGTTTAGTTTCAGCTTGATCTGAGAATGGGTGTAGG